ATTGCCCCAGCATCCGAGCAGCGCCAAGGCCTCGTGCCTCATTTCCATGATTTTGCTCGGTTCCTTTTCTTCGAGGACGAATTGGCCCAGTGTCGAAGCATAGAGAGGCTGGACCGAGAACCTCCTCAGATACTTCTTGTTCTTGAGAATTTTGTATTTTGCCAGAGAAAAGGTTGTCTTCTCATCGAGGCTCGTGTGCGACAGCAAGAGCTTCGCAATTATGTCTCGTCCGCCGTCCGTGTCGCGCTTCTTCAGCGTCTCGATCTCCTGCTGCGTCAGGAGCTGCCGCGCCTCGGCCTCGATCTTGTCGCGGCCCTCGCGGGCGATGACGGTGCCGCTGGCCTTGTCGACGAGGGTGAAGTCGGCGCCATCTTCGACGGCGACCACGTTGGCCGACGTAACGGCACTGGCGTCATTGTTGGCGTCGGCGTCGGCGTCGGCGTCGGCTTCCGCCGACTCATCGGGCACTGCCTTTTCGCCGTTCTCTTCGGCAATGACATCTGCGTGAAGCTCGGAGGCCGGTACGACGCGCAACCTGTTAAAGTTCTCGTCGTCGCGTCTGTCTTGGACTTCGTATGTGAGGTGATATGGCCGCTCAATGATGAGGTTGCTCGGAAAGGAGCCGTATTTGCCGAGCGAAATGGTGCTGTCCAGACCCGGGTTAGCCAACTACTACAATGTGCCATTGGCAGCGGGCGAACGAACGTATTGGGGATGACTTGGATGATCCGGATGCTCTCGTTGGGGAGCTTCACGGCCACCCATTCATTGGGCTGCACAACGGTATGCATTGTCGTCGGGACGCCTGTGTAGGGTGTCGAGTCGTCGCAAGGCGATGCGCTGCGATACGATGCGATGCTAGGGTGGAAAGAAAAAAAGATTCAAGGCCAAGCACTGGCGCTCTGGAAACCGACGCTTTGGCCAATCAGAGGGTGCTTGGATGCTTGCAGGAGGTACCCCGCGCGGGGCAGTCAAGGCCCCCCGAGCTCCCTGCCTGAAGACTGCCAAACGCGCGGTGTCACGGCGATCAAGCCCAAGCTTCAGGTAGCCAGGGTCATTTTCGACTCAATTCATTGCTGGCAATGTGGCTGCTAGTTCAGTGTTGCGTACGCTGTCAAATAATTCTTGTGACTTGTCTCGAAATTGACTGATTCCTACAGTCAATACTTTCTCATTGACCCATCGCCCAAGAGCGCATCCTTAAAGAGATTGGAATCTCACGAGATCTGTCCCCGCGTTGCTTCTGAGAGGGTATTCAGGGATACCTTGAGCATCTTGACAACAGATTGCATGGGCTGTATTGTGAAACTCAAACTTCACGGCACACCCTTCGAAAATTTGTAGTCATTCGAAGCTCACCTGGCGACCAAACTCAATTAGCAAATCGTGCATAACTGAATCGGGACCCTTCCACTCTCTCAAAATCATGACCTGACCAAGATGAACAAACCGACGCGACCAGTGGCAAAGTGCCAAAAATGACAGGCCTTCGGCCAGGCCAAGCAAGCCCCCATCGAAGAGTCAAGCGCCATATCCCAAAGCAGCAGCAAGATAAAACCTTGGCACAAGCACGTCCCAAAAAGAAGGAGAGACACCGCGGAACTGTTCTCCTGGCGCCTGTGCCTGGGCCGAGCTTGGGTGATCGGAAGCTGGGATCCGGACGTGGCGTCGCAACGGCATGGACGTCGTATGGTCGTCAAGCGCCATGGCTGATGCCTTACCCTGGAAATGGCACCCTGCAGTTCCCAAAGTCCCTTTACCTCTCTCTCCCTCCCTCCCTCCCTCGCTCGTTAATCGCAAGGGGAAAATAAAAAAGTCACGCCCAAAGTGGATGCACGAACAAACAGCGAGGCATGTGTGCTGTTGAGACGTTGTCTCATGTGGCCCGTCGATTGCGGCGCAACGCTAATAAAATACGTGTCATCCTGCCGCCTTCTCCCGTTTTTGGCGAGCATTCTGCAGGGACCACAATGGCCGGGCTTGACTGGGCGAAAAAGCTTGAACGCGTTCGCTGGAGTTTGGCAGCGGCCTACCCGATCTCGAGTGTACGCCTCTGTGCTGAGAATGGAGAGCCTACCAGGTCTGGACTTGGACGTGCTTTGAGGCACGGACGGGGAGATGGTCGGGAGATGGGGTTCAAACCGACGGCACATTCATCATTATGACCGCCCCCTTGGCGACGAAAAGCACCTCGTAAGATGGTCGGGCCTTGAGGTGTTTTGAGGAAAAAGAATTGCAAAATACGAGGTTTGCTCGCACAGTGTAATTTCCCGATTCTGTGGTGCATCCGAAGTTCACGGTTACAGCAATGTCACAGTGCGGGCGCCGCCTGCAGTGAACCGTGCCACAAGGGGCGCTGCAAGCTTCAAGGGCTGCGACGGGGCGGGCTGATTGCGGGTCGACCAGAAGGGAAGGAGCTAGTAGGCAATGGACCGAAACCAAGCTTTTCCCTCCACGCCTTCTTCCCTTCGCCGCCGGCCCCATCGGGGAGGCACGGGTACGGAGGGGCAGGCGTGGCGTGGGTTGAGGCGTGGGTAGGCAGGCACTAAGCATGACACCAGTGGGAGGAGGTGCGAGGGAGGTTTCTCGATTGGGCGGACACGGAAAGGGTCTCGACTCGACCGTCCTCGATTCTTTCCTTCGAGTTCAAGCTGACAGCTTTCTGTCTTCCCCCTTTCCCTGGCTTGCCTTTGCCCTCTCCATCTCCTTCAACAAACTAAGTGTTGACCTCACCCATCACAGCCTCGTTGTTCGCGTCTTCAGGCTCATCCTGCCGCGTGAGCTGCTACGCCACGCCGAAACGGAATTCCTCTTGTCCCTCCAACACACACACACGCGCGCACCACCTGTTACAACCTGTATCACCCACCCACCTGCCGGCGATCTTTTGTCACCTTCGGCTTCCCGGCGCAAAAGGCCAGGCAGACGGGCGCATGTCAAGTCACGTCGCACAGTATCGACCGGACAGTTTCTGCAACTCCTTTCACACTTCCTTCCGCCACTCTCTTGACCTCAGGTTTCCTACGTTCCCGGTTTCCACCCTGCATCGAACCACAACCGAACCAGACGCCCAGGCGATAACCCAGCGTCAACACATCGCATCCACGAATCCAAGCTCCATCAGTAATGGGCTGGCTCGACGGACGACATGAAAGCTGCATGAAGCTTGGTGCCGTCAACATGTTATCTCGACGCGCTCTCATCGCCGTGTCCATCACTGTCTGCGCTCTCATCGTGCTCGCCTTGAGCTCCAGTCGCTTGGGCGAATGGACTGCCGCCGGCCTCAACTACAAGCACCTACCGCCGCATCACCCTGCGCCGGCAGGACATCCGGGCCACCCGCACAAGCCGCCGCCTGTGGGCGACAACGATCACGTCGCGCCCAGTGACGACGACGAGGCTCCTGATGTTATTGACACTCCCAACGTCCCCGACACCAAGGCGAAAGAGGACCCTCCCAAGGAGCCTGCAGCTAATGGACTCTTCTTCCGCCCCAAGGACCCGGTGTGCGACAGCTTCCCTGACACGAGCAACATACTTCTCGTCATGAAGACGGGCGCAACCGAGGCTTTCAACCGTGTACCGACGCAGCTGATGACCATGCTGAAGTGCGTACCCGAATACTTTATCTTTTCCGACCTCGCCGAGACGATCGGCGGCTACCAGATTCGCGACAGTCTTGATACCGTCCTTGCCGCGGCCATGGACGGCAACAAAGACTTTGACCTCTACCGCCGCCAACAGGCATGCGCCGTCGACCAGGAAAGCTGCAACAAACTAGCTGTGGACAAGAATGAAGGTTGGAACCTGGACAAGTACAAAAATGTTCACATCGCCGAGAAGACCTTTAACATGCGACCCAACTACGAATGGTACATCTTTGTTGACGCCGACACGTACGTCCTCTGGCCTACCCTCGTCCAGTGGCTAAAGCGCCTCGACCCTCGCAAGAAGCACTACCTGGGGAGCGTTACGATGCTCCATGGGTTCAGCTTCGGTCACGGCGGCTCAGGCTACATCATTTCGCACGCCGCGATGAAGGAGATGGTCGCCGACCATCCCGGTGTCGCAAACCAGTTCGATACGCAGATCCAGCAAGAGTGCTGTGGCGACTACATCTTTGCGCGCGCCCTCGACAACACCACCCAGACGCGCGTCAGAAATACCGTAAGTGGCCTTCTCTTCAGCAGCTTATCAGGTCGTCTCTAACATGTGCAGTGGCCTACGATCAACGGCGAGAAGCCTTTCACCCTCCCCTTCGGCCCCAACCACTGGTGTCACCCCATTGTCACCATGCATCACATGAACAGCGAAGAAATCTCCACCTTCTGGGAATACGAGTCGCGTCGCTATGCTGCCCAGGATATGCCATCCACGCCACCCGCTCTACGTATCAAAGACATTTACCACGAGTTCGTCAAGCCACGCCTACACGACTCCATAGACGACTGGCACAACCTCAGCGATGACCGATTTTACTTTGTTGAAACCCCCGGCGGCCGCCAGTTTGGCGATCACGAAAAGGGACGCGTCAAGACTGAAGAGTTGACGGAACTTGAGAAGCGCGCCCATCTATCTTTCGACGACTGTCGCGCCGCCTGCGAAGAAATCACGGGCTGCTTCCAGTTCCATTTTGATGATGGACTGTGTGCCGTCAGCTGGAGCTTCAAGATGGGTCACCCAATAAAGAAGGACGACGAGGACAGGAAACGCATGCGCAGCGGGGTGGAACATGAACCGCATCAACGCATTCATTGAGCAGGCAGGTGATTGTGGCGATGTCAAGTGGCCCGAAGTTTCTTGAGTAGTAGCATTGGCGTTTGAAGATTTGGCATGACATGACACACAGAGCGAAGAAGAGGAGAAATTCATGTGGCTTACGACGACGAAACACCTAGGTCGACCGTGTATGACATTTTCGGGGCTGGAGAATTACGGCGTTAGCGCGTGGGACGCGATGGATACAATGGCGTAAAAAAAGTAATGGGTACCTCTGCACGCGGAGTAGCCTGCGCAGCGTATAATCAAAATCAAAACACAACTTTTCACAACAGTTCTAGCAAGTCATAACATCGTGAATTAGGCTTTTCTAAAGTGGAAGATCCTCTACGTGTTCATCAGCTCGACACCGCTTCTCACAACAACCACGACGGCGCCAGTCTGAACCGCCTCGCCCGCTCCACCGGCTACACGATGTTCAATGTTGGCCAGTCCGTCGAGCCACGAAATCATAACCTCGGGCTTAACTTCCAACTTGTAAATCTCCTCCGACAGCGACGTGATAATGTCTGCGAGCGCCAGGCCCCTCGCCACCTTGAGCGAGTTGATGGTCGACAGGCACGACGTGACGTCGGCCGTGCTCAGCAGGGCCTGCAGGATCTCCTGGACAGCGTCGGGCGGCGGCGCGGCGATGCACTGGTAGATGGTCTCAGTGGTGATGAGGTCGCGGACGATCTGGGCGTCGGGGACCTTGGGCTCGCCGGGCCCGCGCAGCGGCGTGCTCGAGGCGTGGCAGGCCTGCAGGACGTTGAGGGCGCGGCGCATGTCGCCCTTGGCGAGGCGGACGAGGGCGTCGGTGGCGTCGGGCCGGATGCGGACGCCCTCTTCGTCGACGACGCGGTCGACGAGGACGCGAATGTCGCCCTCCTTGAGGGGCGAGAAGCGGAAGCGTGTGCAGCGCGACAGCAGCGCCGGCGAGAGCTTGTGCGCGTAGTTGGCAATGATGCAGAAGCGCGTGTTGGCCGTGTACTTCTCCATAATGCGCCGCAGCGCCATCTGCGCCGTGTTCGTCATGGCGTCGGCCTCGTCGAGCACGATGAGCTTGTAACCCGCCGCCCCCGAGCTGCTGCCGCTGCCGCTCCGCGCCGACGTGAAGATTTGCTTTGTCGACGCGAACGTCTTGATCTGTTCACGCACCACGTCGATGCCGCGGTCGTCGGACGCGTTGAGCTCCAGCACCATCTGCCTCACGTTCTCGGGGCCGTAGATGCGCCGCGCCAGCGCCAGGATCGTCGACGTCTTGCCCGTGCCGGGGGGGCCGTAGAGGAGCAGGTGCGGCAGGCGGTTCTTGTCGACAAACTTGTTGATCGTCGCGAGGATATCGTGGTGGCCGGAGACGTCGGCAAGCGTGGCGGGCCGGTACTTTTCGACCCTGTCATTGTATCAATGGGTGCTCTGGCAAGGCCTATTGGGCACGACGGCGCCAGAGAGCTTACCATGGCAGGCTGTCTTCCGCCTCGACTGGTAGGTTGGCGGCGCTGCGCTTGCCCTTGGTCGCTTCGGAAGAGAATGTGATGTCCTTGGAGACGGGGACATCAACGTCCATCTCATCTTCAAAGTCCGACATGGCTGCAGTTGCGTACGGTTCCGCGTGGTGTAGTACAAAAGGGTACGGTCTTGGCTGTGGTCGGACGACGCTGAACTTGATCGTACTTGGGAAGACGCGTTGAGACGCGACTGGAGGCGATGTCACGTGACCCCTTTAGCGAGACCAGCACGAATCGGCCTGCGTGTCCGATACTTCTCAACTTCAGCAGAGGATCGTTCTTGGCCAGCATATGCATTGCGCCAATCTCCAAATAAGAAAAGGAACGAATGATCAACTCCAGAATCTGGCCAGCTACAATAGGACATGCCAGTCAAGGAGGTAGTGAACACCTCACGCTGGAATATTCTTACCGTAGGCGAGGGCAGTGGCAGCTGCGAGTGAACGTGAAATGAGTACCTCTGGTTCAGTCAATTGGCAATCAGAAGGTGGGCGGAGCGTCCTCCAAAAGCTCAATGACTCTACTAGACATACCTCTTGCTTCCCATTGTCGGAGGCTATAATATTCCCGCTTTGGTAAGCGGTAGCCTCTCTACTCTTCGCCTGCGGCACATATCCAAGTAGACAAACATATACGTAGGCACCCAAGCATTACCAAACTTCTTCTTCCGCCGGATATGCCGGTCCCGAATAGTTCGAGGTTGCATGACGTTGCATTGGTAGTGAAAGTGTCGTAACTCGCAAGGGTTGTTCACGTGATGCCGTCGACGGCCTTCGGGTTGTGATCTTCCCAGTTTCAAGAAGGGCAATCCCGTCCCTCATCACCATCATTCTCTGGGCAACGAAGTGAGTCTTACTTTATCTCAGAAATTTCAAAGATAATGGCACCTCGGGTGGAGATAGCTCACCTAGGAGACGTCGCTGGAATCACCGAGATCTTCTTTCGATGTTTCTCTGGTGAGTTCTTTCAAGACCTTTTCCCGCCTAACGATGTTGGCCGAGCGTGGCATCACGAGGCATGAAAAAGTTTCATTCTCTTTAAAGACCACGGAGGTCAAAACGCACAGGTCTTGGTAACAAGGACCCCAGAAGGTATGACAGTAATCTTCCACAGCGAGCCATTTATTACAGACCGTTGACATCTGTAGGGATTGTCACTGCTGCTTCCCTCGTTTGGACCATCCGGCCTGAGCACCTGCCTCAAGATAACGACGTACGGCCATGGCGCGAGCGATGGCCTGAAGCCAGAAAAGGCCAGGACAAGGAGAAGTTGAAGGAGTTCTTCACGGGCATGGCTGACCAGCACGACACCATAATGGGCAAGCGTCCTCATATTTGTGAGTAATGCATACAGCTCGCACAGGACTCAACACTGATCAATTAAAGACCTTGAACTCGTTTTCGTTGATCCTTTCCATCACCGCCAGGGCCATGCTTCGGCTTTGTTGCAATATGCAAGCAACCTGGCAGATACGTTGGGGTATGCATCATATCTCGACGCTGACCAAGACGTAGTACCCCTTTACGTTAAGCATGGGTATTTTGCTTGCAGCGAGGTCCAGCCGACATCTCCGATGCTGGCAATGCTTCGACCGCCGAAAAGGGTGCCGTCGGCTTGATGTGCTGGAATGATCCCATCCAGGAAAATGCTGACCAATACACTTTGCATTTGACGGCACGCCCGGCGATGTGTTGCATCATATATACTCCGGCTGTACTACATATCTCTTGTAGCTCAATATTAGCATGTTCTCGCCTAGCTAACGTCGTGAACGAAGTCATGGGTGATGTGTAACATGGCCTCTGACAACGAAGCACTAGCACCTAGTCTGTTCCATATTCTGGTGCTAGCCTGCATCACAAACGAGTCAAAAACGTGTTTTTAAAAGATCAAACATGGCCAGACCGGAATTCGGAGTCATGGCTGCCTGGCGTGCGGATTTTAGCGTCATGCTGAACTGCCAGAAAATCCAAGCTGGGGGTTCGCTGGCAGTAATTTGATAGTTTCCGTTGGACTGCATTCAGTTCCTTCGGCTGTCAGAGACCGTATGGCCAGGCCGAGTACTTTGAGCGCCAGTTTGCAATAACAGTTTACCCTTGCTTGGCGAGGAAACCAGGCGCGGTTTTCCAGTCAACAGTCCTTGTTGTGTCAAACCTGCGCATCCTTTCAGGGCCGTGGCACCCCTTGCCCCTGGCCTTAGTTCCAGCCAAGATCGAGCCGTTATCTTACCCATTGGATCGCTTCCAATTGTAATTGTCTAGCGGATAGGGCATTGGACCCGCCAGGGGCAACTTGGATACGAGAGAGTGGCCAATCTATCGTCACATCTTCAAATTGCAGAGAGGAGGGACCAGGCGGATGGCAAAATAGTTCTGTTGGAGCACAGCTGACGTCGCTGCCGTCAACCAACCTTTCAGTGCATCCAACCCAAGTTGCGTACCTTACGCAGGGAGGTAATGCTCCCTACCCACGGTGACCAGCCCTGTGATCCGCGTTGTATAGAGGCGGGGTCGCTCCATGATCGACACGCTTTAATCTGTCGATCATCCAGCCACGAGCATGGGTGAAAGTTCGGGCGAAATAGCTTTGCTCATACTGTACAACGCCACAGCGCCGTGATTGAACAACAATGAATTTCGACCACAGCGAACGTGAGGAGCCATGTCCAATCGTGGTTTTTGGATACTCCATTTCCGCGCGTAAGCCACCCGTCGTCACGTAGGTTCTTCAGCTCTGGTGTCTGTGCCTCAATAGGCCAATGATATGGAAAGCTCGCTGCAAGCTCGGCCGCGAAATGCCTATGCTCACAATGTTGCACTGTCGTGACGTCCTTGCTTTTTCTGAACCCAACAGACCCTGTTCCGGTTTCAGTATCGGCAGCGTGCGTCCAGGTCCCGTTTCGTCCGATTGCATGCGCTTGGGGCCGTATCATTGACAAAATGGCCTATCAAGGTCGCAGCCCTGTGAAGTCCAAGACATCGTTCAGGGTCTCCTGGCCTGTTGGTATCAGCCTGTCGCTCTGTGCTCTCGGCTTCACTCCAGACCCTTCATAGCCCGTAGACCGTCCATCAGCCCGCTGGTCACCTGAATGGCCAGGCCTGGTCCTTCCAAAACCCGGGAGCGCTGCCCGGAGAAGGTTTGGCGGCCTGGCGTGGCGGGGGTGAAACATTTCTTCTAGTGTCCTTTTTGACGTGTTGCCGCGTCCACGTCTCCCCGAGACGTCTGGGCACTCTGGGGGATGGAACGGATCAGGAGAAACGATTGTCAATTAGCGTCCGGGGACACTCCTCGCTTGCAGAATGTGCTAGGCCGTTCTGTGAACAAGAGCTGCTGTCAACTGCAAAGAAACTCTGCTAGAACAACTGAGGCTCCATGCTGCTGCGCGGCCGAAGCGTTGACAGTTCTCTTTGTTGTGCCACGCAGCGACGAAATTCTTCGCACGATTCCCGCTGACAGTACCCGTTCCCTCTCCCAAGGTTTTCCTTCTGGATCCACGACAGATCTCCCTCGTCGGCATCATGGTCAATACTGGCCACCCCAGTAAGGCATGCAAGCTCTGTAGGTCGCGACGTATAAAGTGCGACGAGACCAAGCCGGCATGTCTGAAGTGCGCTAAAGCAAACCGCGTGTGCCCCGGGTATCGTGATGCTTTCGAGATCAATCTTCGCGATGAAACACAGTCAACCATCCGCAAAGCCAAGTCAGCAGCTATTCGAAAAGCATCCAAAGAAGGCCTTTCGAACACTGCCGATGGTTCCGGAGATGGCTTGATCAATGGCATTGCCGCCAATTCTCCCGACTGGCCTCCGGTAGGCAGGCAGCACGCCGTTAAACCGACCGCCAACTCGTCATCATCATCATCTTCATCATCATCATCCCCCTCCGCCTCCGCATCCCCGTCCTCTTCGTCATCATTCTCTCAGATCATCCTGAATAAAAAGAGCTATGAGGCCTATCGAAGATCACGCTCAGTCGAAGTCGAGAGGCTCCCGCGTGGTCTCGACACCCCCCTAGACGAACAAGCCACCTGCTTCTTTCTGTCAAATTACGTCCTCGTACCACCAGCCGGTGTTGGCCACGGCATTTTCACATTCCTAATCCCGCTCATTGACTCACCCAGATACAAAGCATCGCCAATGCACTCAGCGTTCACTGCCGTCTCGATGGCTGCGCTGGCAGGCCGTCCAAACTCGCGCTCGCTCTTCTCCGTCGCGCATGTGCACTACACCAGAGCGCTCGAGCAGTTGACGCGCGCCATGCAAGATCAAGACCAAGCCAAGCAAGACACGTCTCTCGCGGCATCCATTTTGCTGGCATTTTACGAGGGACTCGCTAACGACGAGTACGAAATGTCGGCCTTTTCGAAGCATATCAGCGGGGCAGCCGCCATGATCAAGCTGAGGGGCCCCAGGTTGATAGAGTCACCTTTGGGAGTGGCTATGTTTGAGGTTGTCCGAGCTTCGGCTGTAGGTTCCGATTTCCTTCCAGAATTTGCATAGTACGCTGACCAAAGAAGATACGCCAGTACATGTTCTTCTCGGAGTGTTCCATCGAGGACATCAAATGGTGGGCTGGACATGCTGTGGCCGAGAGTGTCGGGCACCAAGCCCTCACCCTCAATCTACAGACGACCTTGATCCGTGCTGAAGCAGACCACTTGTTCCAGGGCGCTCACTCTGCCGAAAAGGTCGAACGTGCCCTTGAACTTTCAAAGAAAGCGCGAGCTCTTGATGGTGAGATCGTCAAATGGTTTGAAGCTTGTCCTCCGGCATGGAAGCGTGGGTCGGCAGGGACCGCGCCGCCGCTGCGAGGCTCGTTATCGAATCCCATCAAGTCCTCAACGTCAGCATCTGCCTACACGCCCTCTTCAGCGTACTCACCATTTCACAATACGTTTTCGGCCCCTACACCGTCCTCCAGAGCCATGTTTCCACTCTCGTCAAGCCCGACCCGCCTCGACCCTTCGGAAAGTTCTCCATGCGAGCCGACCCCGACGCAGGCGCAAGATGAGGCGGACATGTGGTACAAGAACCTCACTGCCTATCCAGACCTCGAAATCTACACTTATCCGAATGTCTGGGCTGCCGGCAAATACATCACCACCCACGTCTCCCGCCTGCTGCTGGCGCAGATCACAGCCCGCTGCATTGCATGGACATGCCACCCAGCCGATCCGTTCCATACCGAAGGATATCGCAAGGTGCAAGCTATAGGCAGAGAGCAGGTCGAGGAGATCATCTCATCAACACCTTACTTGACTGGCTGGGCGGGCGACTCGACGACAACGCCGTACTTTCCCTGCGGCACCGCTGAGATGCCCAAGGGGCTAGCGAGCGTGACCTGCATGTGGCCCCTCCTCGCGGCAGGCATGAGCCGTTTTGCTAATAGGAGTCATCGGGCTTTTGTCAAGGGGCGGCTCACTCATATCGGCGAAATGATGGGCATTCGGCAGGCTGAGGTCTTTTCAAAGGTAAGGGCTGCCACGCGCGTAGCACTTGCGAGTTGAGACTTTACTAACTGGCAACAGAATATCGACATCAACACTCGTGGCCCAGATCGACATAACTGTCAACTTTCTGATTTATCTTTCCACTTCAGACACTAAGGTACCTCTTCAGGTCGGAGGATTTATGCTTGACTGGCCGGCGTCCCAGGGCTTCTTCGTTTCTCATATCATTTCCTCACCATGTCGACCTCCTTCGGCCGCGAGTTAAGCCGTTTGTAATGAGAACTCGAGCAGACCGCATATTGCGTTTCATGTTGTGCCGGTGAAACTACAGATGGCCATGCCCCGTGCAATCTTTCGCTTCT